ATATATTAAATATATGAATTTTGTTAGAATATGAAGAGAAAGCTGTGTTGTTTCCTGACTGATGGTGGCAGGCATGCATCATTTCCTTTAACCAGTAAAAATATCAACTTATAGATGGACAGTTATGGCCACTTGTGAACGTAGTACTCAAGAGTAGGCAAAATATAATGGAAGTATCCTTCTGATGGTCAACAGTAATGCTTTAGAAATGAATTTTAACTTTCTTTTATGCTATCAAAATTGTTCTTTTATCAAACTTCTTCATGCTCTAGGAATTTGTCTATGAGTGTCATCAGGAAACCATGTTTGCTTTATATTTATTTTTAAAGTGCTTAGAACACTGTCTGACACCTAGGAAGCATTGAATCAGTGCCTGTTATTTTTATTTTTCTTATTAACATTGTTTTGCCCACAGAGGAGAAATTCCTGACATGGACAATATTTTGGATCGAGATGATGTAACAATTATGAAAAGAGCCATCTTTTCAACCCAGGTAATAAAGACAAGAGTGCCCAACACTTCCCAAGATTGTTAAAATCAATTTAGACCAATATTTTAATTTATTGGAATGGGCTAGTTTGGGAAATGTGTGAACCCAAAAGCTAGAAAAGTCTTTCTTATGCATTCACCTAAATGACAACTTGGCTTATTTTCTTTTTAGTGCTTTTCAGGGCTCCTTAAAAAAATTTCATGAAACTTATCTTGTAGCCACTTAAAAAATTCCTTTGGAACCAATATATCCGTTTGAAAAACTCTGTATATTGCAATGACAACAAAATAGTCCCTAAAATTTTCGAAAAGCATAGCATTTTGAGTCACGATCGAGAAAAGGTGAATGTTTCCCAGTTGAGTGGACTTACTGAAAAAAGGGAAGATAGGCATGCACCGACATCTTGTCATAACAGTGAGGCATCAGGCACCATCAGAGGACAGCTCTGCTAGAAGGATCCAGGAGAAGAGCTCATCTTAAGTCACAATTTCAGGACACCTTCATTCCAAATAGGTCCTAAGAGCAATCAAGAAGTCTAGGCCTTTCACGTAGTGGCTGCAGGTGAGAAACAAAAATATCATGTGTTCATAATATCCGAAGGAAGTTCTTTAAGCCATTATCCCTCTGAAACCCACACAAAACTTAGTCATCATCATTAGTGTCATCCAAAAGATGGAAGGCATGAAGGTTGGATGACATGTTGCCAATGACCTATTGTTGAAATTAGTCACACTTATTAATTCTTTCCACAATTGACATTTTCTTTCCTCTATGACTTCAGCGACAGTCTTTGCCTCCAGTGACCACTCACAATATGATTGATGACTCCACTGATCCCATCCTCAGCACCATTAGACGGATCGGACTTTTCAACAGCCGCACAGACAGAGTCAAGGTAGAACTAATTATTTACACAAGGCACTTCAAAATGACATAGAATATACTTTTTCAGAATTTATTAGAAGTCTCCCGTATTTGTTTTGACATGTTTCAGAACTATTTCAAATGATATTTCTAAAAAAAATTAATTCTGTTTGCTGTCTTGGGTAATTAAAATATAATGTCTGTTTTAGTATCATTCTTAACGTTGTACAATATTATCAGTAAGAACAGGGAAATTGCCTAATTTTTATGATACAAATGTACTCTAAGAATTACTTTAATTAGTGAATCTCTGAGATGAAAATGAATTGTCTTTGTTTCTTCCTGATAAAGTTCAACTTTAAGGGGATAATATGAGAAGCTTCCAGTTTCAGAGAATATGGCTAATGATATTTTTATGGAATTTTCTATAGACCAACTCATTCTTTTGATGCTTGAGTGTCTAAATGATTAAGTACAGTGTGAGTTTTTTTTATTAAGACCTGGTTTCTGCCACTGTGGAGCTTAGTCTCTCTGATGTGTACTGAGGGAGTACTATGTTCAGGCACAGTGCTAAGTGTGGGACACAATGTTGAACATGTAGACAGTTGCTTATCTCTACTCAATCCCATTCACCAATATTCAAGATCAGGTTGTCACAAGCTTTTACCAATCTTTTCAAAGGTCCCACTTTTTCTTCTTTTTTTCACCTTTAGCAGATGACTTGAGAATTCAATGTATAAACTCCTTCAGTGCCTCTCAAATATAGATTTTGACCTATTTTTACCTATTTACCTTTGGGTTCTGGGGATTGTTGTTGATCTCATTCCCTCCGACATTCTTGGGAAATTTACCCTGTTAACCCTCCCTTATACTGCAGGTTTACTAGCTCCTTCCCTTGCTGTCTACGAATATTCCTTAAATTTTCTCGCATTAGAAAGCAAACAAACTTTGCCTTAACCTGGTCTTCTCTTGATGTTTTTAAATGTTTTGGTCTTTTCTATTCTTCTCTGCAAAATCTCTTGGAAAAAAAATAGTCTGTTTGTAAATTTATTCCTTATCTTGCATTCACTCCTTGATATAGGCATGAGTGGATGTGGTGGAGGGAGACAAGTTAGGGCCCTCCTGCCACAGGATAGGGGAGAGATGATAAGGGGCCCTTAGAAAGGCCATGCCATAAGTGCTAGAGAGGACGGAATCATGGAAGAGGTGGTTGTATATAGAAAAGATCATACTTCGTAATCAATGGTCATTGGGAGGGAAAAAGAGGGAGAAGGCAAAGATGATAGCCTTCTGGCTTCAGTATTTAGTCAATACTTTCTAAAAACTAAGGAAAGGCTTTATCAGAGTTGGCTTGAGGATTGCATCAAGAATTGAACTCAGTTCTTGGTAGATCGTTTGAGTTATATGTGAGCTATTCAAGTTAAGATGTTTCATGGGTACTTAGAAAACAGGGCTTCATAAAGTGAGCTATCAGTGGAGGGGCAGCAGGGGATACCTGGGAATGATGACCCTGCCATGCTGCAAGACCAGGCTGAACGAGCAGAGAAAAAGTGTTGACCCAAGAAAACCTCAAGATTTAAGAGATTAGAGGAGGAAAAGTCAGTGCAAGAAAAGAGCAAGAATTAGAAGAGAAAAATATCTCAGAAATCAAGGCAGGAAAAATTTTCATGATAGTAGATAGCAACAGCTCATAGTACAGAATTAACTGATACAGCTGTTTATAAAATGTTCCATGCGGTGTTATCCCATCCATTTTAAACATGTTCTACACACACACGTGTGAGTGTGTACATAGACACACACATATGTGTGTATATTTCCCTGTGCCATAGAATTATGGGTGACTTTTATTTTCTCATTTGTGTTTTTGCATTTCCAAAATTTTTACCCCTAGCACACATCACATTATAGGCAGGCTACAGATTTTTCCCTGGAAATGCAGGGATGTATCTCCCAAAGGCACACAATTGGATCAGCACGATTGGATCTGCAGGAACTTACCTCACTTCAGAGTGTATCAGCACTAATTTGACTTCATTTTCATGTAGTTTAGACCAGTTCTTCTCAATTTTTTTTTCCTCTTGGAAAGGAAATAGTGACAGAAAGAAAGCCTATTATTTTCCTGTAGCTTTCTGTTTTACACAACTTTGTCACACTTATATTTAAACCTGTGGCTCTTCCTCTGAGGATCTGTCAGGTGCCTGGCACATGACATGTACAATAAATATAGACTGAACAGGGGATGTGGAGCCATGACTGTGGTTCATGCTTCCTTTGCTCTCGGGAAGACTGAGTCTGGAAGGTCCCCTGAAATTGGGAGCTCTGAACAAAGTATGCTTTGCTGATCTGTGTGTGTGTGTGTGTATGTGCGTGTGTGTGTTTTAATATGATAACAGTGAAGCCATTTCTCAGGAAAGGACAAGTACATTATTTCCTAAGTATGTTAAACTTCATCCCTCTGTGTCTTTGCTGTTGTTATTCTTTCTGAAGTGCCCCTATCTCAGCCATTCTAACAGCTTCTTTGGGATCCAACCTAGAGGTCATCTCTTCCTTGTGTTTGTCCAACGTGCATTCATCTACTCCAGACAGGGCAATCACTTTCTTATCTGCATTCTCAAGGTGCTTTATATCTGCTACAAATATAGGAATCATCACACTGAGTTATTTGTATTTTTAAAATATGTATGTCCATTCCTCCAGTGAGACTGTGAGTTCTTCGAGGCAGCGATCGTGTCTCATATAAATTTTCTCACTTTCCATTCTCTGAGAAGCAGACACCAAGACAGGATTAGATGTGAAAACACTTATTGGTGAAAATGCCTGTGCAGGATAGAGATTGAAAGTGAAAGCAGGCAGGGAGGGGTAGTCCGACACGGTGGAAAGAGGGGGAAGGAAGGATGAGGAGGGAAGACCCACAGACTGCAGCCCAGTTCTAAACACCTCTCAACCTTTTTTTTTTTTACAGAAAGTCAAATGTCATTAACAAAAACTAGAATTAATAAAAATTAGCAAATGCATGAAAAATATACACACCTAGCAGCACTATGTAGTGACTCATAAAGGGAAAAAGCAGACCACTAACATGGCTGGTCAGCTAGGGGAAAGAAACACACACACACAGAAGCACGTGCACTTCTGTGTGTGCCAAAAGAATTAGTTTTCAACAGTACAATCAATCTATAGCTAACAACGATTCTGAATTATTTTCCAATGCTTCCTTTCTTAATACAAAAGATGCCTCTGTGTGTGTGTGTGGGGGGTGAATTGTGGTTTACTGTGATTTATTTTAAATATATTAGCATTACCACACACATCATTTCCCTATATCTAAATCTTCCCTTTATATTTTACTTTCATGTGATTTGTTCACCTACCAAACAGTTTCATGTTTGTAGGCAGACGGGTGCCTTATTCGATGAGCAATTGCATGTGACAATTTTAATAGGGATTCCTATTAGTTGGAGTAGGGATTTTCCAAACAAAAGTTGCCCATTAAAAGAGTCACTGGTTGTGCAGAAATGAGTTGGCACTAGTACCCATCTCTGCCAGGTCTATAGGCTAGAGCAGCTGCTGTAGTTGCTCCAGAGGGGAAGCGGTTGGGGCTGTCAATCGGGATCCCTTGTCTGCCTTTAAATCTCTGCCACTTAATCGATTTGCAAATTTACTTAATCTACCTCAGTCTTCTCATCTGTAAAATGGTGGCAAAATAGACGCACACTCACAGAATTGTTGTGAGGCTTAAATAAGTAATAGATGCTCCAGTTAGTGCAGTATGTGGCACGTGGCAAGTGCATGATAAATGTCAGCTCTTATCTGTACTTAGCCGGGTCCGTAGCAGATGATAGGTGCTCAGTAACTTTTAGAAGAGAGGTGTAAACAGAGTTTGATGAGAGTAGAAAATAGAGGATTTATCTCTGCCTGGAGAATTTGATAATGTTTTATAAAAGGATGACATGTTAGCTAGATCTTGACTGACGAGCAGGAGTTTATCATGCAGACAACAGTTCATCATACAGAGAGCCGGCAGAAGTAGACAAAAAGGCACAGAGATATAAAAGCACATAGCTTCTGTAGAGTGAACGGAGAAGGAAGTTTGTCTCATACAAATTATGTTTATATAGATAAACTCATGAACAGTTTGAGACTTTCATTGGTTATTATCATAAAGCAAACACACACACAAGAAGTAAAAGAATAGCCCCTTCATAGCAATATACTCTCAAAGCACTGAGATAAATTTTGGTCAACTCATAATTAGGTATTTTATTTATAAATAGTATCCTTTAAAAGCTTAACACTGACTCAGGCCCTGTGCTAATGTGAGTACTCATTTGATCACCTGCATATTTACAGAACTCTATACAGTGGTTCTTAACTCTCGGACAAGCGCTTTATATGAATGCAACCACTTGATTCAGGAAATGTTGCAGATTATTTTGAATTTGAATTTATCATCAATTCTGCCTCGGCAGTGGGTGCAGTGAGAAAAACCTACAGTGCAGACTCCAGGTCTTGACCCTGTGCCAGTACTCTGTGAAAGTAAATTAACTGCCTGGGATCTTAATTCCCTCACAGGATAAATGTGGTTAGACGACTTTTTGGTTTTTATTTGTTTTTTCCCTACTGATCCAGCGCCTGCTGTGAGCCAGGTGCTTTGCTGGGGGCTTTTGTATACAGGATCTCATTTAATCCTCCCGGTAACCTTGAGCTGACCTCTCACATCCCTTCCTCTGCCCCAGGCCTCCGTCATTGGCTGTTCAGGGCCCAGAGCAGCTGTGTTAGTATTTAGTTATGCTGTCATTCTGTTTGGCTGGAAACAAAAGAAATGAGCCATGATATTTTCATGTTCCAAAATGGGCTTTGGAGAGTACAGATTTTCCCAGGCTCGGAAATGCCAAAGTAGGACAATGAGTTTTGAATCCCTGTTTGCTGATATTTGCCAGGAGTACAGTGGTCTGCTGATTTGATGATTGTCTGGACACAGGATCTGCGTCTGTCTCTTTTCCTTGTGCAGGACTTTGCACATGATAAGGACTCAAATCATGTTCTGTGGAGGAAAATGTTTTATCTATTTTTATTTTGGGCTTTGTGATTGTGATTGAATGAACTATCATTTTTAGGTACTACTTTTGGATATTCTACCATTCTATTGCTTAAGTTTAACCTAGGTCCCATTTGTAGATCTCCTGACATGGAACTAATGTATATAATTTATTTATAATATTTATAATTTCTTTCTTTTTTTTTAAAGATTTTATTTATTTATTTGAGAGAGAGAGTGAGAGAGAGAGAGAGCACAAGAGGGGGGAGCGGGAGAGGGAGAAGCAGACTCCCCGCTGAGCAGGTAGCCCGATGCGGGACTCGATCCTGGGACTCCAGGATCATGACCTGAGCCGAAGGCAGTCGCTTAACCAACTGAGCCACCCAGGCGCCCTATAATTTATTTCTAAAATTAGAGTAATGAGAATGTCATGATGTTGCTAGGATTAAATGAAATAATATATGAGAACAGTATTTATAATACATAAAGTATGATACAACTGTTATCATTGTTGTTATATATCCAAATTAGGGTTTTTCTTCAAAGTAATCTCTTTGGAAAGATATACACTTATTCTTTTATTATATATGTTATATTATGTTTATATACAATATAAATAATATTTTATATGTATATTATATGGCATATACTATATAATGTATAATAATGTGTTATATATTATGGCATATAATACATAATATATACAGTATAAATATATACTATATATCATATATTATGTATGTTATATATGTATGTATATGATGTATATTATTTATATGTGTACAATATAAATACTATATAGTATATACTATATATCTATACATACATATATATATAATCCAAATGCTTTTAAATCAGATTTTATTTATATTTAATAACTACTTAACTATGGGGGAGAGGCTGACAAATTACCTAATAATGGTTCAAGAAAAACTTCAATAAATAGGAGAAATTGGAGAATTCTTTCATCCGGGTGACCACTTAAGTAGCTGTTCTAATCACACCTTCCCAATGATAGCCATTCTCTCTCTCTCGTCTCCGCCTTCACATAACATTACCAGCAGTGTAGTCCCAGTACCAGCTCATACCAGTGCACGAGAACCAATTGCTAAATTCTCAGAAGTTTTGTGAGCCAGTTTTAAAAATAGCTATTTTTTAAAAATTAAATTATATCAACTTAAAATATAAATCAGTTATATTAAAATGAAAGGTAATGCTGAAACTCATCACATCCTAATCGTTTACTACATTTTACGATGATCTATGCACTTGAAGCTATTTATGGCGATTGTACCCACCGATGGTGGAAATATTCTATAATGGTGTGCTACTGCCTTCCCCATCTCCAGTTCAGTGACATCACATTGGCAGCTTGAAACCGACCATAGCGGGAGTATCTAGAGAGTGAAAATAGGTGAACACTACGCGTCATGGCTTGATTAATTGTGTATCGATTGTCTAGACTTAAGAAGGTGGTAGAGAAATATGAACAATACAGATTAAACTTAGAAGGGTTGTGTCTAGAGTCATTACACAAAATTGTGAGTGGCACAAAAATATGAGGAAATATTTTTTCCATATTCAAAAGCTAATATCCAACTCAGGAAAGAAGTCACTTACGTCACTGATGAACCTTTGAAGTTCTGATGTATATCTCTGAATGGATCAACATTTACATCATAACTACATTCAGTCCTCAGTTGAAACCATAAGTTGGTTCTGAATACGGGATTTTTGCAAAAGTCAACAAAAGCATGTGGGAGTATTTAACCGTCTAGAATTTATAATAAGGAGGGTATTACACATATTTTATTAGACTTCATTCTTTAGAGAAGTTTTAGGTTCACAGCAAAGTTGAGCAGAAAGTACAGAGAGTTCCCACATACCCCTGCCGGCACTGCCTCCCCCACTGTCCACATATCACACCAGGATCTTATATTTGTTACAATTGATGAACCTACATTGATACATTATTATCCACCAAGATTCAGTTTACATGAAGCTATGCTCTTGGTGCTTTACCTTCTGTGACTTTTGATGAATGTATAATGACATGTATCCATCATTACAAAATCATACAGAATAATTTCACTGCCCTAATATTCTTTTGCACTCTGCTTAGTCAACCCTGCCCTCATCCAAGCACTGATCTTTTTTCTGGCTTCATAGTTCTGCCTTTTCCAGAATATCATATAGTTGGAATCATATAGTGTGTGGCCTTTCAGATTGGCTTTTTTCACTTAGTAATGTACATTTAATTTTTTTTCCATGTCTTTTCATGGCTTGATAGCTCATTTCTCCTTAGCACTGAATAATATTCCATTGTCTGGACAGTTTATTTATTTATTCATCTATTAAAGGTTATCTTGATTGCTCCCCAGTTTTATCAATTATGAATAAAGCTGATACAAACATCTGTGTGCAGGTTTTTGTGTGTACATTTTTTATTATTTGGAAATTGTATGCTATACATTCTTTATATCAATAAAAGGTATAGTAAACTTATGTACAAATATATACTTATATTTTGGTTTTTCATTCTTAAACATGTACCAGAACACCACTGCCATCATAAATACTTTGGCTTTTATTCTGAGTGAAATGGGAAGCCAGTGAAGGATTTTGAGCACGGGAGTACCTGGCACTTTTAAATCTTCACTCTAGTTGTACTGAGTAGAGACCTTGGCAGAATAGAAGCAGGGATCTAGGTTAGGAGGTGATTACCTCCAGGTGAGAGAGGATAGTAACTTGGATGAAGGTTTCTAGTCTGATCTAATCTAGATGAGATTCCTTGTACATCTCTAGAATCTAGAACACAAGGCTTCTACAGTATCAAAATACCGAAATGTAGGAGATTTTTGCTTTAATTTCTTTTTTTTTCTCATTAGAATTTTCCTTTTTTAGGTAATTTTGCACCCAGAGTTTCTATCCTCCACCAGCCCCTTATTACCCATGGATTATGAAGAGTTTGTCCGAGGTTGTCATCTTGGAGTATTTCCATCATACTATGAACCGTGGGGTTATACTCCAGGTATGTGGCATGTATAGATTGTGGAATGTTTTAAATTTTATTAATCTATTATTTTATGCACATGGATATAATATTCAAAGCTGATATGTAATTTCTACTAAGATTAAATTATAATAATATACTGTATTACAAAGAAAAAGAAGGTGTTATAAAGATTACATATTATTGAGTTGTCTCTACCAGTCCCAACTATTCATATAAAGGAGAAATTGAGTGCAAGTAGGTTTAAGATGAGAAACAATGGTCCAGCAAAAGTGTTCTCTAAAACATATTTCAGAATTTTTTTAAATTAATGGATGTACTTAATTTTTAATAGGTAACACATTCACATAGTTAAGGAAACAAAGAGTATAAGAAGGTATACAGTGAAAAGTCTTCTTCACACCCTTGTCACTCAAAAAAGAGGTACTTTTAAGATAAAATGTCAGTTCGGTGATAGGTATTATGACCCTGACATCATTCCATTCAGATCCTCCACCTCTTCATCTGCCTTTTTTTTTCCTCCCTGATGGTGGATTCCCAGATGCACTACCTATTTTTCTTTTTTTCCCCTATGAGCATGTTTGTCATTGGTATCAAGAGCTATCAATTTGTATTTGTACTGAAATGCTTAATTAAAAAGGAAACAAATACTTTAAATAAATGCCAATGGAAAGTATATAATACTAACTTTTCCATCTCATATTAGTAATCGGAGATTTTCCTCTTTATTTAAATATAATTCCATTCATAATTTTAAAAGAAAAGGTTCAGAAAACATTTTTATGCATAATTAATAAATTTTCCTTTCTGATCTCAATGTCATCATTGTCCAACCAAGGGGTGGCATCGGTCAAGGTTAGGGAGATCATGGTTGAATTATGAAGAGGAAGAATTTTTCTAATCTTTGTTTTCTGATCCCAGAATTTCAATATAGAATTTTAAATTCTATATAAGTAGTATCTACTGATGAATCAGAGACCTGTACCTCTGAAACAAATAATACATTATGTATTAAAAAAAATTCTATATAAGTAGTATCTTTACATAAGGAGCAACATGAAATCTCTGCCTCTTTTGACATAAGGTCCTATTCTATCATTCTAGGTTCCACCAAGAATAATTTGCCAGCAGCTGTAAAAATATTAAAACCTCTGGGGAAAATAGATAAAATATTATCTCCTCTTGAAACATGACATAGAAAAGCTATTGACCTAACTCTTCCAGCTATCTCTTTTGTAGTTCTAAAAATTGTTATGGGTATCAGTTGTCACTTTTATAAAGATGGTGTCTTCTTACTTATGAAATACCCACATATTATCTGAAATTGTTTATAATTGAGTATCTATCTTTTAAGATACATAAAATGCATATTTCACTGATGAACTTAACATTTTGTTATTGACTTTTGTTCCTATTATTTCTAGTAAGTAACATAATTTATTATCAAGGAAGTTTCAAAAATAGAGAAGCACAAAACCAAAGTCTGAGTGACTGAGGGATGTGGGAAATCCTTTACATTGGGTAAAGAGAATGTTCTATAACTTACAGCAGACTTTCCACCAAACATCATTTTATAGGACAAAGATAAACTTAACCCAAAATGATAGAGGAGATACATCTAGTATTTTAAGATAAAGACCAGCAAAACTATTATAAAAGATAAGTAGATGGAAAAAGAAGTTTGAGAATGAGTCATTCTCTGTTTTGAACTAACCAAAGGAAATTGGTCACTCCTCACCTAACCTCTAGTTACAGAAATAACAAGACCCCTAGTGGTTTAAGTTTGGTGTTAGCATATTAGATAATTCTAATTTTTTAAAAATAACTCTTTATTTGATACTAAGTTTAACACACTCCAGAAAATATTCATTTAAGGCTGTGTTTCGAGAAAATCCAATGATTGTAAGTGCTTATTCCATTAAATTCATTCAATGAAAATTTGCAGAGATTATGGGTACGTAGCACTTCATTACATGTATTTTAATGAGTATTTAAAAAAAATAAGGTTCTGTGAACTTCCATGGAATTGTAGGCAAAATTCTTTATACATATATGAGTAAGAATTTTTCTGGGGATGAGTTCCAGGTTTTCATTAGATTCTCATATGGGTCAAGAATCCCTGTCCCATTTTCTTCTCCACCACTCCCTCTAAAAATTAGGAAACCACACCTCTCTTGAGATAAACCACGAGGCAATACTTGCAGAGCAGAAGAAAAGGCCGCTGTCTAAACTGCATTACTTCTTTCTTTTTTAAATTTTATTTTATTATGTTAATCACCATACATTACATCATTAGTTTTTGATGGAGTGTTCCATGATTCATTGTTTGTGTATAACACCCAGTGCTCCATTCAGTACGTTCCCTCTTTAATACCCATCACCAGGCTAACCCATGCCCCCACCCCCCTCCCCTCTAGAACCCTCAGTTTGTTTCTCAGAGTCCATAGTCTCGCATGGTTCATCTCCACCT